TTCTTTGATATGGAAAAAACACTTTATTTAGAACCCATGCTGCACAATTTAGTCAGTCCCCTGCTGGGCAATGACCAAGGTTTAATAAACTGTTCCTGCTCATAATCTCCTGTGGAGATTTTTCAAATAAAAAGCATCAATAGATATGACTTTAACAGAGAAACAGAATCTTAAAATTAGTCTCCGGACTCAACTTAGATGTGACTTTGTTAAGTACTTTATCTTCTTGACTTTCTTCAACAATATCTCATCAGATCATTGTTGCTTAAATACCTCCAGCGGTGGTGAACTCTCTCCCACAGAAGGCAGTTCATTGAACTGCTGACTGATAGAAAAGCTTTCTTACTGATAAACAGAAATCACCTCCTAGAAACTGCTATCAATTAGTCCTGGTTCTGTTCCTTGAGGTCACACAAAACAAGTCAACTCTTCTTCCTATTTGACAACTCTTTGTAGGTATGAAGACTGTTAAGGCTGGGCATGGCGGCTCATGCCTGTAATCCCAGCACTTTGGCAGGCTGAAGTGGGTGGATCACCTGAGGTCAGGAGTTCAAGACCAGCCTGGCAACATGGTGAAACTCCGTCTCTGTTAAAATAAGAAAAAAATTAGCTGGGCATGCTAGCACATGCCTGTAATTCCAGCTATTCAGGATGCTGAAGCAGGAGAATTGCTGGAACCTGGGAGGTGGAGGTTGCAGTGAGCCACTGCACTCCAGCCTGGGTGACAGAGTGAGACTCCATCTCAGAAAAACAAAAACCAAAACAAAAAAATAAAGACTATACATATTGAGTACCCTGACCCTTATCATCTTTACTTCATATTTCAACATATTCATTCCTTTTAACCATTTTCTAGGACGTTCATTGAGGCATATTAACAAGCTAAGATTTCCAGATGCTACAGAAGTCTAATGTTAATCTAACAAAGCTGGGGTAGACTAAGTGAGACAGGAAATATTCAACTCTACTTCCTTCCTGATTCTCCACTAGGGACCTAATATTTCCTCTACAAATCTTTGGGTGGAAATTATTTTACTGTTGTTCTCTTTGTGTCCAGCTAAAGAATAAAAAAATAGTGCTACAAGGTTTGGTGGTACCTTTCTTTGGGGACAGTATAGCCACTTTTGAGTATGGATGCAGATAAAAGTAAAGAATATAAACTACCCTCAGTTAAAATCAAGGTAATTAGGACTTTAAAAACCTGGGCACAGCCTATCTGATGGGGAAGGTCCATGATAAAATAGCAAAGCCCAAAACATGACCCTTGGACAAGATAAAACACCAGATACCTTTCGCCTCTGACCCTGTCCCTTTGATTACACATACCATGTGTCATGGTAATGGAAGAGACTAGAGATGATATCATATATTAGGGCATATAAATTATTGTGAAAATATCTCTCATTTGGGCTTGATCCACATTACTAAGCTCCCATAAAGAATGCTGGAGGACTAATAATTTTCTCCAAGTCTGTATAAGCCCAGAGTTCTCTACATCCTGTATCCCAAAGATCTTATGAGCCACATCTGTGTTGAGAAGTCTTGGTTCAGCAGTTTCCAGGTCCCCAGTTGCCTGGATCCTCTTCATCAGAGTATGTTTCCATTTGCCTATATCCAATTTAAAATGCAGAGTTCAGAACTGAGCATGGGTCTCCAAACCATGGTCTTTCCAGGAAAGAGAACCTACCTGCTCAGGATTTTGAAGCCATATTTTTATGAAGGCAGATAAAGCTTACATTAGGCTTATAATCCTGTTGAATTCAAGCCCTTTTACTACCAATGCTAGTACCTTCATCTTAAACTCCCTTCTGCCAAGGTGTCCCCAGATAGGCCCACCTTCCTCCATAAAACAGAGGCAAATTACATTGATTTTCGATTCAGGCTGACTTGAGGTTAAATCCCAGTTCTGCTTCACACATGCTGGGCTGTATTGGAAATATTTTTAAATTTTCTGTATACGATGATGTTTTGACATCTTAAGAAATCTTACTGGCTAGGGAGAGACTGCTTCTCAATTTTTAAACATAGCAAAGGATCCAGTCTTTGATATGCAAACTAACAAATCCAGAGCCATCCCTCCTCTACCTGGCTCATAATACCCCAGAAAGCAATATTTCTCTGTCTTCACCATCTCAGGGCAGAGGGGGATCACACTTACAGCTTGAAGCCAGACAAAATGATTCAAACTAGCCAATCGCTCACCCTGACCTGCCTTACCTTTCCAGCAGGAATCCCAATACCAAAAACCAAGGAGTGGCCTTAGGTCTCCCCTTTCTGCTCCTTGTCTTTTGCCTTCTGACCACCCTAGTGTCTTTCCCATGTGGCCCTGTGTGGTGTGCTGTGCTCCAGTCTCTAGGACCCTGTGACTATAACAAACTGCTTTTTTTTTCTTCCAGAGGCTCTCCTGTGTCTCCTCTGTGGCTACACCTGACTGACTAAAGAAGATGTACATATACACCATGGAATACTATGCAGTCATAAAAAAGAATGAGATCACATCTTCTGTGGGAATGTAGATGGAGCTGGAGGCCATTATCCCTAGGAAACTAACATAGGGACGGAAAGCCAAATACCACATGTTCTCACTTATAAATGGGAGCTAAATGATGAAAACTCATGGACACATAGGCAGGAACGATAGACACCAGAGCCTACTTGACAGTGGAGAATTGAAGGAGGGAGAGGAAGAGAAAAAAATAACTACAGGGTACCAGGCGTAGTACCTAGGTGACAAAATAATCTGTACAACAAACCCTGCGACATGAGTTTACCTATATAACAAGCCTGCATACGTATCCCTGGACCTAAGTTAAAAAAGAAAAAGAATACAAAACGTGGATGAACTTAGAAAAGATTTATCTTGAGAGATAATAGACATCATTGTTAAACACAAGGACTCAGAAGCCAGACTGCCTAGGTTCTAATCCTGCCTCTGTCACCCCTTACTGCCAACAAATTATGTAAACTTTTCTGTCCTTGCTGTCTTCAACTGTAAAATGAGGATAATAGTACCATCTACCAGCCAGGCATGATGGCTCATGCCTATAATCCTAGCACTTTGGGAGGCTGAGGCGGGTGGATCACGAGATAAGGAGATTGAGATCATCCTGGCTAACACAGTGAAACACCGTCTCTACTAAAAAAAAAAAAAAAAAAAAAAAAATTGCAAAAAATTAGCTGAGTGTGGTGGTGCACACCTGTAGTCCCAGCTACTCAGGAGGCTGAGGCAGGAGAATCGCTTGAACTGGGAGGTGGAGGTTGCAGTGAGCCAAGATTGTGCCACTGTACTCCAGCCTGGGCAACAGAGTAAAACTCTGTCTCAAAATAATAATAATAATAATAATAAAGTACCATATACCTCCTAGAGTTGTAGTAAAGATTAAATAACCTGGTATTTTAAGGGCTTACCACAATGCCTGGCACACAACGTGTACTTGATGAGGTAGTTATTATTCTTATCACCTCATAGAAATGTTGCAAGAATGAAACGATATGTAAACTGACTAACACACCTCTAGTATCTAGGAGGTACTCAGTAATGGGAGTGACATCTAGCTATTTTTTATTCTGGTAAAATATATAACATACAATTTACCATTTTGACCGTTTTTCAGTGTGCGATTCAGTGGCATTAAACACATTCACATTTTTGTGCAACCATCATCACTTTCCATCTCCAAAAGATTCCATCTTCCCAAACTGAAACCTCAAGCCTACTAAAGCATAGCACTTCATTTTTCCTTTTCCCTCGCCTCTGGCAATCACCATTCTCCTTTCTGTTTTTATGACTGTGACTATGCTAAGTAATTCATATAAGTGGTATCATATAATGTTTCTCTTTCTGTGCCTGCCTTAATTCACTCAGCATAATATTCAAGGTTCATACACATTGTAGCACATGTTAGAATTTTCTTCCATTCTAGAGCTCCATAGAATTTCACTGTATATATATATATATATAACATTTTGTTTATATATTTATCCATCTACATACATGGGTTGCTTCTGCCTTTTGGCTGCTGAAAGTAATGCTGTTATGATCAGGGATGTACAAATATCCATTCTATTACTAGTTATTTATGAATATTTTTTCTATAACTTTTTTTCAAGGAAATCCATTTTTACATTTAAACTATCATCTTACTACCCTTATGTTATCTTCATACTAGTCATGAAAATAATAATGCAAAATGACCAAGGTCACGTAACTCGGCTAGTTAAGTATTGTTTATAAAGTGCTTGATAAATTATCTTCATGAAATTCATGTAAGTGGGCATATGTAGAGGTGTGAAACACTGAATGCATATAAGGAAAAAGACATCTATTTGACTCTTATTCTCTTGGAAAATTGATTATAGAAGGTTTTTCTATTTTCCCCTTACCATCAATGAACAGGACTGACAGTGTCAGGAGAGCCCTGGGGATGAATCTGGAAGTTAATTGCAGCTGTAAGGTTGATGAAAATACAAACCACTTCTTTGGTGGGTTCAACAAACATATCAGCCCTTAAATTTCCTGATGGTACAGTGATAGATTTTTTTTTTTTTAAGATTGAGAACTCCATTTATTCTTTTTGATTACAGCAATTGCAAGGTGCTCCAGGTTAAACTCAAGAGAGTCTGGATGCTTTGACCGAGTCAAAAGATGTACACGTATCTCCCTCTAGGACGTATGTCATTAAAATTGCCAACACACAAAGAAATTTAACTTAAACCGTCACATTACCCATTGATCTTCAAAGCTCATCAATCTTCTATCAGATTACCAAGATAGTGTGACACTTTTATCACAATTACACTATAAGAAATACAGTGCAGTCATACTGTGGCCAAGTCAGTAAAGACACTTGCTTTGATGGATGATCACAGTTGATCAAGTTTGTCAGTTGCTTTATGCGTTTTTATGCTTGTTTTATATTCCTGCCCAGAGAGTAGAGGCTTTTAAGGGCACATCTGTCAATGGATTCAATTTCACAATGCCATGTGATTGTTTTACTTACCCCTGTCTTCTCATCAAAGATTTTGATTCCTCCAAAGGAGATGGTTAAAAAGATTTTCTGTTTGTGTTCTCCTTTGGAACGAGCGCCAGCAACAACACCCTGTTGAAAGGAAGAACATGGCTTTTACTTTAGTGTTTTCATTTGAAAATTCTCTCTGGTCCCAAAGGCACGTCAGATATCATCAACCAATGCCACCAATCATGCACACTGCTTTTCCTTCACACTTCCACATTTCTCTACTCAATGCATTTAACATCTACTTGGTGCTTTAAGGTAATGCTTATCCTAGCGGTTCTAACACATTGTATAGAGAGATATTTGAATGTTCACTCACTTAACTAATCATGATTTATAGAATTCCTAATGGTGAGCTGAGCTAGATGCTCAGCTCAGAATTGGGGGTCCCAAGAGAGATACAATATGGTCTTCAAGTTAATGTCTTTTCTGGGTTTTATATTAGATATGGTTTTAATCTTTTAAATAAAGGTGAGCCACTAAGTATATTCCTACATATAATTTTATTTTTTATAATTCTGGAAAAAGTTTTCAGATGAATCAATTTTAGATAGTAGAAAGAAAATAAAAACAAATGCCAGACTGTCCATTCTGCTGGAAAAAAATGTGTTCATCATAGTTAACTGCCTATTGATTGTAATTTTTATCCAAAGACATTTTGTGTTTACCACTACCCTTGTTCCCATCATTCTTGCATTCCATTTATCAAAAAAACTGTTTCCTCACTTTCTCAAATGTTTTATAAGCCAAAGGTATGTCTATCAGTCAGTGAGAAGGTAAGCTTCATCAAAGGGTGAGATGGTACTTTGTTCACTGCTTTATCTCTCCTGCTTAGGACAGTCCCTGGAGGGCAAGAGGCACTTAGCAAATCATTGCTAAATGAATATGTGCTGTCCAGAGTCCCCCAAAGTTGAAATGATTCAAGTTAAGAATAAAGACATTTGCTTTTCAAATTAGATTCTGTGGTGGCCAGTTACAGGAAAGCATGAGCTCCTACTAGGGTACAACTCAGGGGATAAAGACCTTTCAAGGGATCTACGGGATCTACGCTCTCAAGGGCTATTACCAACCATGCATTAGGGGCCTTGAAGCTTCTACCCTCTCATTACTGGCAGCCTCTAAAGATGGCAAGATTAAGCGTAACTCTTCAGCAGTATAGTTCTGGGCTTTTAGAAGAAGAAAAACCTAAAATAATATTGATTTCATATTTTCAGGAGATAAACAGTACTATGTGCTATTCTCAGCATCAGTGTTAGGGAATGGTTGGTGTTAGAGAGCAGCAGGTATGACCAGAGGTATAAGGAAGGCACATTCTTTTGAGAATGTTTGATTATCCTTACTTTGCATAATGGAAATATTCTGTGGAATCAGAATACCTAACTTATACTCCTGGTTCTGTGTAATCTTCAATAAATTATTTAACCTCTTAGTTTCACTTCCTCAAGCGTAAATGTATTTTGTTGGATGGTTGAGATAATTAAATGAACATTTATATAAAGTACTTAGCACAATGCCTGGTATACTGAAGAAACATAATAAAACTTTCTTCTAGAAAATGCATGAATGCCCATTACAGTTTATGTTCCAGTTCCTGTTTAGACACCTACTAGTATGAAATTCTCTCTTTCATATGTCACCCATTCATTCTCAAGCACATCTTACAGACTCACAGACATGCAGAATATATAGAGCCACAGAAAACCTTAAAGCGAATAGATCCAAGTTTCTCAACTGACAGATGAGAAAAGTGATGAACTGAAAGGTCGTAGAGAGTCCTGAGACGGCACAGGGAATTGGTGAAAGAGCTGAAACTACAACTCAGCTTTCCTAGCATGTGGAGCTGGGACCTGTGGTTATCCTTTACGTGTGTCTTCTTTCTAGGGAGCCTAAGTCTCTCTCCCTACAACCCCCGCCCAATCTTCCTCTTTCAGTCCTTCAGAGCTGCTCCATATTGACAGAAGACCCCTCCTCCAGTGAATAATCTCTAAAAGGTTAGAGGAAGTCACAACTCAGAAACAAAGCAGGGTTCTCTGTCTCTTCAACCCCACACCACATGCAGTGGCTTCTAGATTGCTCAATGTGCTCCTTGTTTTCCCGTGAATTCACTGTGGGATGCTTTTAAGGAACATGCAGAAATGGCCAAAGTATGTCTTTGGAATCCCAGGGGTAACTCCTAATTTTTGCTTAATGCCAACCTTTCTGACCCTTTTAACCAACAGAGCATACCCTTTATGCCAAATTGCATCTCCTTTGTTTTCCCTGCTTCACTTTCCTCCTGGAAGTTACCACCATCTGACATTTCACAAATTCATTTGTTGGTTGTCTGCCTTTGCCAAATAGAACAAAAGCTCAATTGTGCATAAAACTTTGTTTTATTTGGTTTGTGCCCAGGGCTGAGAATGGAGCCCAGTGTAAAGCAGGAACTCAAAGAGAAGGAAAGTGACTTTCCCTTGCTTGACTTTGAAATCTGTGTTCTTGGATGGATTTGGGGTGAAATAATACATGCTACTATCCCTTCGCACCCCAGCCTTCAATCTCAGATATCCAGGAAAATAACGAGCTCCTTGCTGTGGGCTGAATGTGTCCCCTCAAATGCATGTGTTGAATCTTAATTGTCAGTACTGTATAACAGTACTGGGGGACGATTAAATGATAAGGGTAAAACACTTGTAGAGGAAATTCGGGTTCGGATAAAAGGCCTTCAGAAAGTGGGTTCATTACCCTTTCTGCCCCTCTGTTGTGAGGATACAGCATGCATCCCCTTTGGAGGATGCAGTAACAGGCACCATATTGGAAGCAGAGAGACCAGGGCCTTCTCTAGACACCCAACCTACTGGCCCCTTGATCTTGGACTTCCCAGCATCCAGAACTGTGAGAAAATAAGCTTGTTTTTTATGAATTACCCAGTCTCAGGCATTTTGTTACAGTAGCGCAAATGGACTAAGACGTGCCCTCCTAAAGGAAAGTACTGGAAGAACTGTCAAAAGGGAGAAGACTGTCTCCTTCTGGTTTTATTCCTTCTTTCTTTAGGTGAGAAGAATACAGGATGGGTCAGGGAGAGGGCTGCATCTAAGCATCAATATCTCCATCTCCAAAACAGTCCTAACAGTTCCTAGCTCACAGATTTCCTGGAATATCAAATAGCAATAATTCCTGGAACATAGCAGTGCTGATTAGATACCAAGGCCCCCTTGCTTGTTGGTATCAATAGCTATCAAATAATTCCCTGGTAGAATACAGCTGTATGTAAAGAAGGACAGTAAATGCCAACATACGTGTTCCAGGAGCATTTCTGCTTGGGGCTGCTGATGGTGACTTTACATGACAAATGATAAAAAGAAGGACAATCCATAAGGTGCTATCTTTGGGGAAAGAAAAGGCCCATTTTATCAAGCATGTTTTTCTTGTGAGACAGGACTATGGGTCAAGCTCAGAAAATCTGCACACAGTCTAGAGTGGGCCTGCCACAAGACAGTGTCCTTAGGGGCTCATCTCCCCACAGGATTATTCATGGCCACTGTGCAGAACTAACAGAGGCCCAGGAGACAGCTCTTATTAGGGAGTCAGAAGATGTGGATGCAGGTCCTGTTGTGGACTCCGTGCCTCACATTAGCCACCTGACCTAGTAAATCACCACTCGAAACCTGGAAACCAGAGAGTCAAACATTTTCTTGGGTGCCTATGCTACAGGTTCTCTTACTCGTCATATAATTTAGTCAATATCACAATCCTGGGAAGTAAGAATTACCTCCGTCATTTTACAGATGAGGAAACATAAAGCCAGGGGATCAAATGACCTCCTCAAACCTAAAAGAGCTAATAAGTCATAGAACTGAAAGTCAAACAGTGATCCTTCTGATTCTCAAGGTAGGAATCCTTCTACTACAATCCTTGGTTCTCTAAGGGCCCCCTTTTGGGAAACAGATTTTTAAAAAATGAACATACAATAATGCATGCTACAAATAGGTCCAAAAGTTTATGAAAATAGCTAGGTAGAGCCAACAGCTTGCAAAGTTAGTAGTGAAGAACTCCAAAATGAGAATCATGTTTCTGACCTCATAAGTGTGTTAGAACACTTAAGAAAACTATGCACCTAGGAGGGTCCCGGAAATAACAGTTCTCATTCTTTCAAGAACTAATATTGATATTATTAAGCAATACCATGTGCTAGGCACTGTGTGAAATGATCAACACAGGCATCCCCAAGGGAGTCACAGGCAGGCAGTATCTCAATAGAGGAAGTTACATATAGGGAAAAGGGTAGGCATGCCAACCAAGATTCACAGGCTGCCCTGTCCAGCCCAGGGGTTGCTGTGAGAATCAGATGTATGACGTGCATGAAAGGGATTCGAGAACATTCACACAGCAGGGTACCTGCACCCAATGTTATGACCGCTCTCCATGGAACATATAAAGCATGTGTGTAATGCAACACGCTTCAGGCACGAATTCTGAAAACCTCAGAATGCTATTCCAGAAAGCCCCATGTAATAAACCTAGTCTCCATTTTCCATTCTCCTTCTAGCTAGTTACCAGCTATATGAACCAAGGGGAAAAAAACTCATTCTAAGTTTCATTTTTTCCCAGTTAAAAAAGGGAATACTAATATCTTTCTCTGTCCTGTTTTTGCCCGGAGACTGAGCACTGCAGACTAGAGCTACATTCTCTGGTCTCCTGAGCTTCCTTCTCCATGGCTCCAGTTGTGTTCCATCAATGGAAGGCACAGACAGGAGATCACTGGGTGGGAAGACAGAGTTCAGGGCATTGCTCCCCACTCCCTTCTCATCCTTCATTTACATTTCTGGTAGTAGCTGTATTTTGTGTGGTGAGAAAGGGAGACTTTCTTATCAGTTCTGCTTTCCCTGTGTTCCAGTAAATATATATCTTCCTAGGAGTGGTAATAGCTTCCCACTGCTGCTACATTCTGAGTTCCTCAACACCCCTCATTTGCTACCTTAAATTTGCCCACCCTTTGCAAGTAATTCCTTCATTAAAGTATCCTCAACTGACCTTTCCAGGGTAGATTTTGGTTCTTGCAGGACTCTGACTGACATACTTAGGGTTCTGCACTTAGCTCTCCAGGTGCTGTCTTTGGAGACCTCATCCTTTTCCTTAACTTCAATCACCACCATTTTGCCAATGTCTCTGAAAGCTGACCACTTTAGAAGTCAGTGATGTGGGATGTGACTACTGGGTAGTAGCTTATTGACAGGAGCTTAAGATCTAGTTTGGGAGCCACAATAAATTAAATGTAAATACAAAACAGAATACAATTAAGGGCAGAACTGTGTCTTGTCCAACATTGGCCCTCTTGGTATCTGGGTTAGAATTCATTTGATCATAGATTGAATGAAGGCTATGAGACAAATACCTTAACATCGCTGAACCTCATGTTCTTCTTCACAAAACAGGGAAGCTAATATGTATCTCATAAGATCAAACGATACAATATATGTGGAAATGCTTTGTGGACTGTAAATTAACATATTATGATGTCAACAAGATGATGATGATGATGATGATGATGATGCTTTGCTGGTAGACAGGCAATGGGTCACTCATACTCATGATATGAATCCGCTCTCAATCCCCTACAATCAGAGAGAAAACTCTCTAATGCAAGAACATGCACTAGCTTTAGAGAGTTTAGCAAAGGAAACAGAATTTTATTCCTCATACGGCCTAACGTGAGCAAGTGGGCCTTTTTACAAGGGTAAGAGGCATTTTGTATTTCTCTGTCTCTTACTTTCCTGGGCAGATGGCCAAATGGAGAATTGATCATTTATGTTTCTGTGTTTCCTAAAGAAAAACCACTGGGAGCTGTAATGTCAACATTCTTCATAGCAACCTGCAAATAATGAAACACAACTGTCTGGGAACCAAGGACCCCTCAAGTTCAGCGTCTCTGACAGGAGTATGTTATGGTAGGACAATATCTCAGGGCTTTAGGGACCTCATGGTTATGAGAGGTGACAGATGGAGCACTTCACTGCAGGTAACACACATGCACGTGCACGCACACACACACACATAACGTGATTGGTAGCCATTGCTAGGCCTAGTCCAGCTAGCTTGGACCAAGGTTAATCCTGAGTGAGTATGTTTAGGAAGCAGAGGCCAACTCCTGACTCAGATCCACTTAGGCCTCAGTGTTTCCATGAAGGCAGCTGGCCAATGAGGTGCTCTGTGACCGAACCTGGTGAATGGCCATCTCCCAGATGCTGGGAGCATAAGCTCCTTTCTCCTCCTCACTTGTGGCTCTGGGTGAGAACCAGATCTTTGCATTTTATTCATGTCTTTTAATTAAGATTTGTTAGAGCTTATCTCCATTTGCCAGACTTCATATTCATTGAAGAGGGACTTCAGAAATAATCAAGATCTTGGCCCTTATCCCCATCTTTGCTTAGGGTCTCCTTGGGATGGCAGGTGTGGCTCTATCTGATTGGAGACTTTGAAGCAGCAGCTGAGCATACAAAGATCGATCTCTTCTGGGGCTCTCTGTGCAATCTGCCTACTGATAGACAGACTGTATTCTCATCTGATCTTATGCATGAGTCATGGGTCCTACTCTGGGCAAGGGTAGGGGTTGGAGGAATAGGGGGATCTGCAGTTGCCCAACACCCCCACAAACCAAATAGAATAGCTCATCTCACTCAAGGATGCTCACTGTGGCTGTGTATCTAAGTCACATCCTCCAGGCCAGCATTTATCAGCCAGAAAGCTGGAGTTCAGGATTCTTCCTGTCTAATTCTTATCTATTTATCACTCAGATATGAACTTGGCAGAAGAAAACTCGTCACTGGACTACACTAAAACTGCATAACATTGCTTAATTATTCAAAAAAATGCATTAAATTCTTCCAAGGTGATTGTGGAATCATGATTTTGATGTCTTTTATGTCTTTTTCTAGTATACTTTATAGTAGATACGTAACTATTGAAATAAAGTTTATGTATATAACAACTTAACAAATAAAAAGAAAATATATAAATGGATATCCAGGGTAGAAAATTAAGAGTTTTAAAACTCATGATTCTTAGAGCTGTACCATAGGGAAACACAGCATCTGTTATATGTGCTAACCTATTAAACTTTATATAGCATAAACAAAAATAATAACTGTGACTACTAAGCATTTATGAAAGTAAAGGTGATGCAGATTTTATCACATTTTAATACTTTTGCACACTTAACAAGATTTTTAGTTCTTCCTTTTCTCTTACATTTGAAAATATTTCATTGACCAAGTAATATTTTCATGGGCCATCTGAAGACATATATATATATCATATGATTATATATATCATATGATATATAGATGTGCATATATACGTATAATATATAAGCTCATATATATTATTAGACAAAGGAAAAAGCTAATATATATTATTAGACAAAGGAAAAATGTCCCAGGACAGGAAATTATATAAACTATAATTCCAATTTTATTATATACTTATAATTCATATATTATGTATGTAAAAGCACAAAAAGAGCTTTCAAATTATACAGAAAAATGTTGACATTGATTGTGGGATTATGGATTATTTCAATTTTTTCTTACATTTTTCTGTATTTTCAAAATATTTCATAAGGTACACAAGTGAAGTGTGTAATCAGAAAAATAGTTATATATGTTTGAAATAGATATTATTATAATTTAGACTTCTTGCTAAATCATTTATTTTTTTCAATATTTTATAACCTTTTTAAAAAAGAAACAGAATATATGGACATCAGAATCTAAGAAAAGTGTTATTTCAGTATACTTTTAAGGTTATTTGATAAAATAATTTATTTTGTATATTTTAAAAAATTCTAACTTATTTCTTAGATTCCTCAGAGTAAAAGCTCCTTTATAGTATTTAAAATCAGAAACCTCTTCATGATATCTGCAAATCTCAAAATATGGTTATATATTACTTTAAAACTATTATTTAAAAGTGTTTGTGGTACAATAGTAGAAATTATAAGAATGAATGGAATCAACTTTTATCTTACCATCTCTTACCATATGGCAAAATATATAAAATCTATTCAAAAATAACAAGGTGGCAAAATTCATAAAATGTGAGGGATGGAACAATTTGATAATTTTGTATTTTTATTTTTGCAGGAGTTGAAAAATGAAAATAAAATGTGATACACTCAAAAATTGTAAAACTAGGCCTACCAAAATATCTCCACATGGTGGGTGCTCAATAAACATTTGCTGACTGAAATCTCTTCCCAATGACCAAATACAGTGAGCCGAGTAATTTACCAATTCAACAGTGAGCCAAGTAATTACCAATAAATGAATCAAGTTATTTATGATCATGATGGTAATGATTTCTTTTCCCCATTCACATTAAACACAAGATATTTAAAAGGCAATGTTTGCATAGCACCTTGAGTTTCATCATGGAATCTTGACATAACTTGTCTCCCCGAGCTGCGGAAACTTCATCAATCCCGATCAATTTGGCTTTGTACCGGACCCCTTCACCTTTAAACCTCTTTATCAAAGTGGCTTCACTGCGATCCTGACCTAAAAAGAGAAAAAGCAGATTCAAATATGTAGTTGTGCCAAACCCAGTGGTTTTGAGTATCCACAATTCCAAGATCCGCCGTCTGGTTTCATCTATATTTTCGGAAAGTCAAATCACTGGATCCAGGAGAAAAGAACAGTAGTATTCCCAGATGCAAATTCTGGCTCCATCCATTTAAGTCCTGAGACAAATTACTTCTCCTTTCTGAGGCTCAGTTTTCTCAGGTAGGGAAAAAGAAGTTAAAAATAACCACCCCAACAGGGCATTATGATAAATAAATCAGATAATATGTGTGAAGCATCTAATTCAGGGTTTGATAAACAAGAGATATTCCACACATGATGATAATCACCCACTAAGAGTTCGTGTCTGAAATTGTTGTTAGAATAACATTAACACCGAATCTCTGGCATTGCCAACATTCAATAATAGCTTGGCCAGGGTCCAAGACCCTCTTCCCACCCAATTCCAGGAGCTGTTTTACAAGTGAAACTCCAGAGTAATGACCTGAGGACAATTATCAAAAAATGGTTTTATGACATCTCTTCTGGTAACTCATGTGTGCAGGGAAATAGGCTTCCACGCTCCTTGCTATTATGTGTCCACTCCTTCCAACAGGATCTCTCAATAATTATTAAGATAATGTTTTGCTAAGACACATCATCCAGGAGTTCAAGCATATCTACATAAAGTGAGGACAATAAAGTTAACCTGAACCAAGCAAGTGCTTCATGACAGATGTTCTATAAACGTTATCCCCACTCTTCACAACAAGCAAACCATTTCCATTCTCCAGATGATGAAGTCGAAGGTCACAGAGTTTAGGTAGCCTGTCCAAGTAAACGTAGTCACAAATAAGATGAATACATAGGAATTCAAACCCATCGTTAAGTTTATCATGTTTTGACTAGTCAGAGGTCTAGACATTGTACAGGTGATTCTTAAAACCTGGAGCATCCTAGCTGTCGGATATTCATCTCCTAGAATATCAACTTCAACTCTTGATTCCTCCTCCATCATGCTTACCTCCTCTGCCAGAAACACAAAGCTGAGGACAAACATTAGAGATAATTTGGCCCATTCTCCTCTATCTATAGACGTGCAAACTAAGGCCTTTCTATACTGTGGGGTTGAGAATTATCAGAAGACATGCTTAAAATAGAAAAAAAGCAACAGCAGTCACTAACCATCATATAGTACTTTTCTACTGACAAAACACAACTTTCATTTAATTCATTTATTTATTCATCCCTTACCGAGCATCTCCTCCGTACCAGTGCTATTATTCACTGCAACAGATGAATGAGACAACATCTGTACCCTCAGTAACTTCAGTTTTTGATGGCTGCAAATATGAATGTATTTGCATTATGCTTGGTGTGTAAGAAGGTTCAAACTTTAGAATCAGACATCCTCATTTCAAATCATGACTCCCTCTCATAAGTCAACTAAACTGTCTGAGCCTCAGTTTTTTAATATGTTGAATGACAATAAAGTATCTACCTTACAGCATTAGTATGGACAGTAGCTTCAATGAGATAGTACATGTGAAGCAAGTATTTACATGGTACGTTTTCTGCAGATGGTAGCTGTCACCACTATTTTTTTTTTTTGAGACAGTGTATCACTTCTTCACCCAGGAGTACAGTGGCGCCATCACAGCTCACTGCAGCCACGACCTCTCAGCCTCAAGCGAGTATCCCGCCTCAGCCTTGCAAGTGGCTGGGACAACAGGCATGCACTGTCATATCTGGCTACTTTTTGAATTTTTTTTTTTTTTTTTTTTTTTTTTTTTTTGGTAAAGAGTGGGTTTTGCCATGTTGCCCAGTCTCAGACTCCCAGACTCAAACAATCCACCACCTTGGCCTCCCAATGTGCTGGGATTATAGGCATGAATATTACCACTATTATATGCCCAGGCAGAGAGGTGGAATGTCTGCCCAGCCAGGCCTGGACCTGTGGTCCTGACTGCCAGTTTTGTTTTGTTTTTCTTTTCCATGACACCCCTGCTGACTCCCTGTATATTAAAGCCTTTGAGTAATATTCCAAAAAGTAAATATAACACATGGATAATTAGTCAGAAACTATAATCAGTATAATAATTAAGCTTCAGTGTTCTGTGAGGGCAGATGTCAGAGACAGAAGCTAAGAAGAAAGGGAATGTTTGACATAATACACCTTATATCATAAACATCTCTCCTCTTCAGCACATGATACCATTTCAGTCCATAATAACATCTCTTTCACCACTGAGGTTTCCCCAAACTTTAATTATAATAACAATACCAGGTAGCATTCATCACAAAACATGTTACATGCATCAACTTGTTTAGCCCAGAAAATAATTGCAGAGGTAGGTATTCAGGTTTTCTAGATGGGGCTCTAAATTGAAAGTATTAGAGGTCGTGTAACTTGTCTAAACTTACTGAGTAGGACCTGAACCTAGATTTGTCTAATGTTAAAATCCATGCTTGTGGTTTGTGTTCTGTTTTCAAGCCTATTTGCCTAACCACCATGATTAATTGCTTCTCTTCTACGCAACTTTCTTATAAAGCCCCATCTTTATCTTGTACCAAAACTCACCTGGCCCACATCTGATGGTACTCAATATACTGGCAGCATTAAAACTCCACTGGAGGATGGAGAGACAGCTTGAAAATGGAACGGATTCCAGTCATCAGTCATCTCTAAGAAAATGTCTAGAAGTCAGATACAAAGACAGCCTTAAGAAACATTTGTCAGGGCACAGAACTCTGCCGAGAAATAAGATTCATAAGAAAAGGCAGAGCCATAGCAGGTGAACAAGGGCAGAGATTAATAAGAAAATATTAGGTCATTTAGAGGAAAGTAGGGAGTCCAATTTAGATTAGGACCTAGGGCCAAGCTAATTTGTATGAAGGGCACTTATGCAGTAGATAATCCAGTTTCTCATTAAATGCTTCACCATTAAAAGGGTAATTTTTCATGAGCACATCTTGAGCAAGGTCTCAGTTATATTAGTTAAGAAATAAATAACAGATATCAGAGCCATAAGGCTTTAATTCTATCTGAGGCACATACAATATAAAGGTGTTAGGAACAGGATCACTCTTTATGCATGTTAGGTCACCATGAGTCTCAGCCTATGTTGCTGAAAACACCACTGATCCTCGGTTTCAAGATGGACAAGAGAAAGACCATGTATTTAAGGAAAATCATCCATATGGTTATTATTATTTAGTACAGTTACTGTGCCAAGAGCTTCACCTGCAATTTCTCATTTAATCTTCATACTTGTTCTTGAGTTAGGCTCCTTAATGAGTTCTATCATACAGAAGACAACATAAACGACCAAAGTACACAGGATAGCTTGAATTTTTAAATAACAGCTATATTGAGATATAATTCACAAACTGTACAATTCACCATTTTAAAGTATACAACCCAGTGGTTTTGGAATAGTCACACAATTGTATAACCATCACTGTTGTCTAATTTTAGAACATTTTTGTCATCCCAGAAAGAAGCTCTGTACACATTAGCTGTCACTCCCCATCTTCCCATTCCCTCTGATGCTAACCAACCGTTAATCTCTTCCCATCTTTATAGATTTGCCTATTCTAGACATTTTATAGAATTGTTACCTTATAATGTACAATTTTTTTGCTTTGGCTTCTTAGCAGCTTGTTCTCAAGGTTCATCCATGATATAGCATGTATCAGTCATGCATTTTTTGCTGAATATGATTCTATTTGGTGGTTATACCACATTAGTTGATAGACCTTTGGGTTATTTCTATTCTTTGGCTATTACGAATGACACTGCTGTGAACACTTGTGTACAAGTTTTTGTGTCACTGAATATGTTCAATTCTGTTAGAATTTTTCCTAACAAATGAATTGTTGGGTCATATGGTAACTCAAGCTTTTTGGAGAACTGTCAAATTGTTTTTCTAAAGTGTCTGCACCATTTTACACCCCTCCTAGCCAAATATAAGGTTCCAGTTTCTTTACCAGATGTTCTTCTCAACTTTTGTTATTGTCTGTCTCTTTTACTTGAGCTATCCTAGTAGGTGTTAAGTGATATTTCACTGCAGCTTTGATTTGCATTTCCCTAAAGAGTAATGATGTTGAGCATCTTTTCCTGTGCTTATTGTTCATTTGCATATCTTCTTTGGAGACATATCTATTCAAATCCCAGAACCTCAGTTTGAATCCAGGTCTTGTGTAAAATTTCATGGTCTTAGCCATAAGACTATGGGGCTTTCTGTGACCTATTCTGTGTTCTATTACAGAATTTAGCCTCTTTGGTTTGTCACAGCTACTTGAGTAGATGTCTTACAGATAAATTGGCAGATGTCTTACTCCTGAGACACGTAGTTCACAAATACACATGCCCTTCTCACGTCTTATATCATTTAATCTTCCAAGGTTACTGAAAACCAGCACTGTTATTATTTTATAGATGAAGAAAACTGGAGCCAGAGAGGTAACTAAAGTTACTTCAAGTTGAGCTTGGAATAGAATCTCATCCTGTCCTACTCTAAGACTTGAGTTCTCCCACTGGGAGGTAATGGTCTAGAACATGAGCTCTGGATTCAGAAGACCTGAGTTCAAGTCCCAGCTCTCCCAGCTACCCCCTTAGTTGTATAATCGTGGGTAAGTTTCTTTACATGTCTGTCACAGTGTCCATATCAGTTAAGTATAGATACTAATGGGTGCTTCCAGTAGGGACACTGTGAAGGTTAAAGAAATGACAAATAGCATGCAAGACAGCGAGAGACTGGCAAACAGTAAGAGCTTAGTCAACATTGGTCATTGTTATTTGGGTGATCATACTTTCAGCTTGTCTATGACTGTCACAGAAACTTTTATACTGACACTGCTATTACTAGCATCCCTCACTACTCTCAAAAATATTCCAGTCTGGTTAACAGACTATGTGGTTACCCTAATTAGATGATCAGCATTTGTATACTGTCCTGCCTCAGTGTTCTTCATGCTAGGAACTGTGCTAGCTT